ACCGTGCGGCCCGAGACCGAGCAGTTAGAGGCGGGAACCAAAGCGGAGTCGCCGCCGCCGCCCACCATCAAACCGTGGGGGCAGCCGCTGCGCCTGGGGCTGCGAGGAGGGAGCCCGGGGCCGAGCCGGGAGCTGGTGCTGGGAAAGGCTCTCCCGCCCCGCGGCGGCGAGGGCGATGCCTCCTCGGTGCCCGTCTCCTGTCTCCGACAGCATCACTTGCTAGGACAGTACCGTTACTCAGGAGAGAGAGGGAGGGAGGGAGTGAGGGGGAGAGGAGGGGAAGAATCAATTCCTTATCAGACAGTGAGAGCTGGAGAGGAAATCAGACAAACCAGCAGGTAGGGAGTAAGGAAATCAGAGAAACTTCCCTCCCCGTCCTCCCATTCCTCTTCCAAAAGAGCCCTTTTCCATTTACAGATACAAGTTTCCTAATGAGGGGAAATGGAAATCGTCTGGCTTGTTCATTTTCCTGCATTCGTATTTATCCTATATAACTTTATATTTGTTTCATTTGTTGTTTGATGTTTCTAAAGCATCGTTTGTTCGTCGTGTTGATTTAGTTGAACCCACAGAGGTTTAAGTACGTTCCCCTGAGTTTTTGTACCCCAAGAATGGTGATGTTTTAATCATGCTTGGTGCCGTAGGGTTTTTTTTATGAATCCCCAAAGCGACTAACAAGATTTATGTACTTTTTTCAAGACGTATTTTCCAGCAAAATTTAAAGTATCTCTTTTAAAACTTAAAAATTGCATTTTAAAATTCAAGAGCAGTATATCTTCTGGGAGAAACAGACTCATGGAATTTTAGTCAGAAGAAGTTTTAGGGATCAAAGTATTTATCCCTCGTTTGAGAAATAACACTGAGGCTTAGAGAGACTGCTTAAACTATTCGAGGTAGTGAAAAAACTCGTTAGAATTAGGTGAGTGTATTTTCCAAAGCTTTCTGTTGCTTCAGATGAATAGCTGTACAGCAAGTTCAACTTGGAAGAATCACAAAAATACCAGATATGCTACAATGAAATAAAATAAGATACTCATTTTTAACTGTATTCAATTATACTATATTTTTGAAGAGTAATTCTTCTCGAATTTAAACAAAACACAAGGAAAATTAGCTCTTTTGAACTATAGTCTTAAAAAGTAAATAATACACTGTGTGTTTTATTAAGATGATAATGTCTGTATGTTTAAGGAAGCAATGATGGTTATTTACATATCTGGTACAGAAAAAACAAATAAGTAATATTAGTGCTTTACAGTTGGAAGCACCTTTCCCATACCAGTACATAAAGAAGTGTTAAAATCCTCACAATGCAAGTTTGCAGACCCCTTCAATTCCACCTTTGAACTACCTCTAAAGCAGGTCTGCTTTTCCCACTTCAAAACTACTGTTTCATTTCAGGCTCCCATGGTCCTCCCTGCCGTCTGGTCTTTCTGTAGCCCCCCTGTCCCCACACCACTTCATCCTCCACACTACTAGAGAGACCATGATCAGAGCAAGTCTGATCATGATTTTTCACTGTAAAAATCTCTAGTGGCTTCCCACTGCTTTCAGGTTAAAATCCAAATTTGGCTTGCCTGGCCCTTTGTGGTCTGACCCTAATTCTTCAGTCTCTCCTCCCATCCTCCCTCATATGCATCCTAACTTCACTTACCCTGAACTTCCCATTCATCCCTTGGCATTCCAGCCACTCTCCCATTTCACAGCCTTGGTCTGTGGTATTACTGTCACTGAAGCATCTCTCTCCCCTCATCCACCCTGCACACTTTTACTTTTCCCTAAAGACCTACATTAGATGTGCCTCCAATCTGATACCCCTCCTGTGTGCCAGCGTATTTCCCACAGCCCTTGGTCCTCACGCAAGGCACTCTGTGTATACCACAATCTTACCACTAGTCACAGCATTGACATGAACTCTTCACGGGTCTGTTTCCTTTTGAGACTGTGAATTCCTTAAGGATAGTTTGGGGTCTTTTTATTTTGAGCTACTTGGGAGTTTATCTTTTTGTCTTTGCATTTAGCTCAGTGCCTGGTGTGCAGGACAAGCGCAATACATGTTTGCTGAATGAATTCAGGAAGTCTACAGGTTCTTTATATTATGTTTACAGGCATATGAACTGCTTTTATGAGGCTCTGGATGGGGAATAGAGAACAGAGGAGTGCCAGAGTCATGAGGCTTTACTCTTAGATACCATATGAGTTTGCTAGGGCTGCTGGAACAAAGGATCACAGACTGGATGGCTTAAACAACAGAAATTTGTTTTCTGACAATTCTGGGGGCTGGAAGTCTGAGATCAAGATGTCGGCAGGGTTGGTTTCTTCTGAGGCCTCTCTCCTTGACTGTCTTCTCCCTGAGTCTTCATTTGGTCTTCCCTCGGTGTCTGTGTCCTCATCTCTTCTGATAAGGACACAAGTCAGATTGGATTACAGCCCACATAATGACCTCATTTTTAGCTTAATTACTTCTTTTACTTCTTTGAAGACTGTATCTCCAAATACAGTCACATTCTGAGGTGCTGGTGATTAGGACTTCAGCATATGAATTGGGGGAGGGAGGCCCAGGTCAGCCCACAACACAGACTCTCTCCTGGGCTTAGAAAACTGTTCCATCCAGAGACTGCTAACATTTTTATTCTTTTTTTTTAAATGGAGGTAATTGAACACAGGACCTTGTGCATGCTAAGCATGTACTCTACCACTGAGCTATACCTCCCCTGCATTTTTATTCTTAAGAAGTGCAGCTATGAGATTAATGAAAACCCAGAGGAGAAGAAATCCAAAAGACAGGAGGTTCTTAGAAGAGAGAGGAAACATGGACCACCTTGGCATAAGCCTGCTTTGGCCTTTTCTTCTTTTGTAAAAGAGAGTCTATCACTGCATATATGTTGTTGGCTGTCTATGTACTTGTAAAATAAGTGTTTGCCTAACATACATTCAAAATCCATTACTCCTGTGGGGAATAACAACAACAAAATCGATATTCAATATTCAGAAAATCCAATTGTTGAAGCAGGTTATTTTCAAGTAGAGGTGTGTGGCCACTGAAGCATAAGAGAAACGTAACTTTCATGGTAAGTCCAAATTAAATAAGAGCGATTTGTAAAACATAGTAACAGAAGATGGATTCCAAGTTCCTCCTAAGTCTCTAAGAAATGCTGTACTTTCTTTAAATCCTGTTTCACACACGGTGGAAGGCTCTGTTCTCTGTCTCTCTGTCTTCTCTCTCTCTCTTCCTCTAGGGCTGTCTGTAACACACCTAATAAGAAGATACTGTTGAACAGTAATTCTTGCACCCTAGGATGGAGGTTAGACTTAGCAATTTTCTCAAGGGAGCAAGAGCATGGAAGCAGGTATAATGTTCCAAACAGTGCACATTTTTTTCATCTTTAAGAATAAAAGTTCTTTTATAAGTGGATTTTGCTTTGCTTTAAAAAATTAGACTTTAGTTTTTAGAGCAGTTT